AAAAAAAAAAAAAAAAAAGGCTCATCAAAAACATTATTATTAGACAACTTTATTTCTTATTCAGATATTTAAAAAGGCATTTATTAAATTTGAAACGCATCTTTAGAAAATAAATAAATAAAATAAAGAATGAAAAATAGAAAATAGAACTTACTAAAATGTTTTTCTTTTGTTGAAAAACGTTTCTGAAACAGAAACTTTTGAATAAGTAAAAAGATTTAAAAAAAAAAAAAAAAAAAAAAAAAAAAAAAAAAAAAGGAATATAACTATCTAAACAATGTTTCAGGTGCGAATGCTAATTTCTCTTCCCTCTAAGCCTAACAAAATAGACCGAATAAAAAGATTCCCTCGCCGACCTGAGCCAAAACCTGTCATAAACAGTGACCCCATACCCCTATTTGAAATAGTTATACCTCGTAACCATAGTCACCGGTCCAGATCAATGGCTAGGGGAGTTCCTACTTTAGACAAACTGTAACACCATTTGATTTTGTTACTTAATACGCCTTCATTTTTGTGTTAAATGTAGCATATCAGCCGTTTTTTAAACTGTGTATTTTACCGACTTTTAATACACAGGTATGGTTTTTAGCTTCAAATTATTTTATTTATCGAATTTGTGTATCCAATTGTCTTTATTTTTCAGCCTTGATGGAGTAGCAGAGCTATTCACTATGACGTATGCAGGCAACTCTATCTTTAGCTCACCAACGAAGCAATCTTCCCTGGATGACATTATAACTACCTTCGAGAAAATATATGACGAGTTTATGTCGTCTGAGAGTCGTCGATCTGATCAAAAAAACGAGTCTTCAAGTGAGATTTTAAAGCCAACTGAAAATAATCCTTCAACAGAATTGGAAATCGTTAAAAATATATTAGATAATTTAGATTTTAAGAAGTATCGGAGAAGAAATTCTCTTCAAATGGAAGAGTTTACAAAGCCATTTGGTTTATTTCGAAGTTTATCCTTTACTTCAGAAGTTCATCATATGGTAAGTTCTTTTTATAAATAAATAAATTCTATTTTTTAATCATTGAGTGCTAATGAAGACAAACCAAATTGCACATTAAATTAAAAGCAAGAGTATAAATATTTTTTCCTTTTCATTACTTTCATTACTTCCTTTCCATTCCTTTTCATTACTTTGTGTAAAGGTCATTTATTATAAACGGGTGTAATACAAACCTTATCCTTTGATGACACAAGGATCAAGTACATTCAATTAATTTTGTTTACATATTACATGGTAAAAAGTTGCTTTAAACAATGCTGAATAATTTGCTCCATGGTATTCCTTCAAACAATTACTTATCAAATTTTGCTTAAAAATGTAAACAACTAAAAACAACATGAGTTTAGTAATTATTTATAACAGATATTTTTTTTCAGCAATGAGAAAATTGCAAAAAATAAATAAAGAAAATACATTTAAGCACATTATTTTAAAGTATCATATAACGTTCCTTTCACAACGAAAGAAACCCAAATAAAAGAATTCACTCTTTTAAAAAAGAAACATCAATATTTTCGAGCAGTTTGTAATTGCAATCTATTATTAATTTCTAAGCCATTTAATAAATCATTTTAAATTAATAAATGTAAAGAAGCAAAAACAAAAAAAAAATGGAAATTAATTTGATGAATTTCTTAAAACAATTATATCTTTTCCCAGTGTTTTACATTAAGGAGTAGAGTAGAACTAAAAATCATTCAATCAATATATATACTGACTTTACCACAGTTACAAATAGTGTATTAAGTTTCATAACCAGTATGAATATTCAAAACAATTCTTCTAAAGGTATTTTTCTACAGATATTTTTAATAATGATTTTATATTTGTATACATGTTCTCAAATTAATTATAATTTATAAAACAAATCTAGGAATTTTAAACTTAAAATTTTTTTCATTCATTACTGAATTTTTATTTTCCAATCAGTGCTTAGTTATATATAATAAAAATTACATTAAAAAATTACAAAACTAAACAGTTTGAAGCAACATAAAAACTTTTTAACATTTGAACTGAAAATTATCGATAAATTCAAGAACATTTTAAAGTGTATTTTCAGTTATAGGGAATTTATTTTTTAAAAAATAAAACCTGCAATTTTTCAACGGTTTAACATATTATAGCTAATTTTTTTCTCATTTTAATAGGCTTTTGTTATGCAACTGAGGATCTACTAATATTATAGTTTCAGTTTGAAAAAATAGTTTTTGCTATTTATTCTTCTTAGTGAAAATCGTTTTTTTTTTTTTAAAAAGGGAAATTAAATCAAAACAAAATTTAAATTTAAAAACTATTAAATTACATTGGTATTGAAAAAATTTGCAATGAAAATTTACCAACGGAGAAAAATTTAGCGCAGTAACATTTTCTAAATTAACATTTTACTAAGTAATATTTTTTAAATTGTTCGATGTTAAAACAGAATATTCAGTAAACTAAAAAAAAATAATTTAACTTCACATAATTTTTTTAATATACAAGTGTACATATTTATGTAGAAAAATAAGAATACTATAAATTAAAAATAAATCATAGCAATAAATTAATAGGTTTTAAAATTCTGTGTAAAACTAAAATAAATGCTAGGAAATTAAAGTTGGTTGTTTTTTTAAAGAAATTAAATGTAAAAAACTTATTGCTTTCTTATATTATGTGACATTTCATTTGCTTTAAATTTGAACGATTCCTTTTATAGTTAAAAATTTTTTCGGTCGTTTTTAGTTTCTTCCAATTTATCCCGTTTCTTCCATTTCTTCCAGTCTCTTCCATTTCTTCTGATTTTGAACCAATTTTTCCGAAAGAAATAATCATGATATACTAAAATTTTGCATGGTATGGCTGAGGTCTCTTAAAGGGTGGTTTGAAAATATGTTTACATAAACGTATTTGTGTCTTATGTAATAACAAAAATTTGATCAGTTGTAAACAGTTGATATGTTTTGCCATTTTTACTTTCAAAAATCAATTTCTAAAAATTCGAAAAAAGACATGTTTTAAAAACTACTCAACAATCAAATTTCTAATGGAATATTTTAATTCAAGAATAATTTCATAGAAGTATCCAATAATAAAATCATCTTTTACCTCCCCCATTTTGAAAACATTGTAAAATTTTCAATTTTTTGTCTCCCATTCTTACAAAAAATGTCTATAGTATACTTGAAAGATTACAAAAAATGTATAAAATTTTGTTCTGTAGAATACTTGAAAGTTTAAAAAAAATTTCTAGAATTTTGTTCTATAGTATACTTGAAAAATTACAAAAAATGTAGTTAATACAAACAGTTTTGGTATTAAAACAAGTATTAGACAGAATGAATGAAAGTCAATCACAATTTGAGATATAAAGCGTTCTCTAATAATTTTTTGCGACAAAATTATGCTGATACAATTCTGGAATTAATAGTTTTTGATGGGAAGTCAAATAGTTGCTTGTTTTTAGTTTTTTTTTGGATAAGCATCTTTGTTTTTATACAATCAACGTTAAAGGAATTTTAAAGCGTCTTCTAAATTGGTTAACATCAGTTAAAACTGTAATAAATTTAGATTGAAAAAAATCTAAAAATTAAGGAACGTGTAGTTTTAAACACACTCTCAAGGGCTATTTTTTCTAATATAATGAAGCTTTTGTTTTCTACCTTTTTTGAAAGGTATTGTGCTACTGTCTAATAATAAATTATCAAAAGTTCGTTAAGTACAAAAAAATATCAAGAAAACAAGAATTAAAAATTTAACTTAAAATCCAAGATGCTGAGGCCTCTTCCACGGAACCCTTTAAGTTCCGCAGAACACCATCTGGGAACCGCTGACTAACTGTAACATTAACTTGATTTATTTTTTCAAAAACTTTGGTTAAGGTTACAGTAGACAAAGTAAATAGAATTCGCGTCATTATTTACATCTCTTTTAAAGGAAATAAATCTGCGTTAGAAACTCCTTTACAGTCCTTGGCCAAATCATTAGACGCACTTCAAGTTTCTATGTAAAATTTTAATCATGAGGTGATACTATACAGCTTTATTGATTTTACGCAACTGAAACCGTTTTGCCCTTGTTTACGTTCGTGTTCAATTGGTCAAATTAGCCGATATATAATATAAATTTGACGATTAGATAAATTAGGCGAGAGATTATATAGATATGGAATATTTATTATATTAGAATATTATAATAATTAGACCAAATTATTAGACGCACTGTAGTTTTTAAATAATTACATGTTTTCCACGAATTTGTATGCTATACTTTTATAAACTGCTGTTTGTAGAAAATGCAACACCATGAAAGAATCATCAGAATCAAATGAAATTTAATGCAGAAACGACTTGTACTGATACAAATAAATGATGAAATTTTCAAAACAAAAGAAACAAATTAAGCGTCCGAAATCAGTATTTGGTGCAGCCACCACGCGCTGCAATAAGTGCTGCTATACGACGTGGCATGGAGTCAAACAGATGTTGAATATCTGCTTGAGGAAGAGAATTCCATATCGCTTGTATGCGCAACCAAAGTTCGTCTTTGGAAACTGCAGGACGCGGATCACGAGTGAGACGCCGACCAACCATATCCCACACGTGCTCAATAGGCGACATATCCGGCGAATAAGCAGGCCAAGGAAGAAGTTGCATGCGTTGTGCTGAACAGAAGTCTCTAACAGTCCGCGCAACATGTGGGCGTGCATTATCCTGCTGAAAGATAGCTCCAGGGATGCCTTGAAGGAAAGGAACGACTTCGGGCTGTAGCACTTCACGGACGTATCTGTTGCTATTGAGATTACCCTCAATTCGTATCAAATTGGATCGTCCATGATACGAAATCGCACCCCAGACCATAACTCCGGGTGTTCGACCACTATGTCGTTCAATAATACACTCAGGAAGGCAGCGTTGACCGGCATAACGTCTAACACGAACACGGCCATCATGGGTCCACAAATTGAAGCGTGATTCATCTGAAAAGACAACTTGGTGCCAATCAGCTCGCCAGTCTCTGTGCTCAAGAGCCCACTGCCGACGCAGCCGTCGATGATCCGCCGTGAGGGGAATCCTGTATAATGGCACCCTTGCACGCAATCCACGGCGCAGCAGACGACGACGAATTGACGAAGCCGACAATTGTACACCTGTAGCAGTAGACCAATGTGCTGCCAGCTGCCTGGAGGAAGCTGTGCGATCATTCACCGCCATGCGGAGCAGGTGTCGATCATCGCGCTCTGACGTCACCTTCTGTCGTCCAGTGCCTGTTTTTCGAGTTGTTCGGTGCTCGTCGGTCCACTGCTTCCAAACTCGCATCACTGTGGAACTGTTCCGCTGCATACGAGCTGCTATTGCGCGATAGGAAAATCCTCCTTCTCGAAGGCCGATTATCCTCCCTCGTTCAAACTCCGTAAGTTGCTTGAATTTCTTATTCTTCCGTCGTGGAGGCATACTCAGGTCTCACTAAACGTTTGCCACTAACAAATAATCATAGACTATTTTCAACGTCCCGCTACAGCACTTTATTTATACGCTTTCAGCATCAATTCAGAGGGCGCTGCGCGCGCCACGCACGCGCGATGGCTCTGAAACTTTATTAATTTGCATAATATCCTATAATTGACATTTGCTGCGAATTTCATTTGATTCTGATGATTCCTTGATGGTGTTGCATTTTCTACAAACAGCAGTTTATATAAACATACATGTAATGATTTTTTATTCAGGGAATTTGTTATATACTTCCTATTTGTGTTTATTTTTAAAGATTTATTTATTTTTAAAGATTTTATTTTATTATTACAATATTAAGGCCTGTTTACACGGTCCAAGTTCTTGAATCCGAGAAATTGGAGGAACTTCTCTGTTCAAGAAATTGGATGATTCGTCGACACTATCCAAGTTCTTGAATGTCACCGATTGGTCGGAAGAAAAACTTGCGCATGCGCATCGTTCATTTTCAACATTATAAACTCATACTTACATAAGTTTAAAGTAAAATGCATTTATAATAACACAAATAAACCACAACAGATCAATTTATTTGGACTAAAATATATGAAAACCGACAACAAAATGACATAATTTGATACCTGCTTGTTGAAGTCACAAAACCTAAAACGCTGATTGGTTAAAAGAGGAAAAACTTGGATGGAGAGTAGAACATGCTCTACTACCGTCAAAGGACTTGGACCAAGTACTTGGATGATCGTTTACATGATCCAAGCTCAAAGCAAAACAAATTTCCATCAATATCAATCAATCTTCGTCCAAGAACTTGGATCGTCTAAACAGGTCTTAAACCAATTAATACACGAACGTGAACAAATGCAAATCGGTTTCAGCAGCGTAAAAATAAAAAAAGCTGTATAGTATCACCTGATATTTAAGATTTTACATAGAATCTTAGAGTGCGTCTTATAATTTGGGAAGGGACTGTATATTTCTTATATGAAGGAAATAAATGGTACCTTTAATATGTAATGTTTTCAGGGCTGTAGTATAAATTGTAACTTTATCTATATTTGATCCACAATAATATAGTCAAATAAATATTAGTACGTAAAATATTTTAACTGAACTTTCTATATAATTATTTGTTCTTTTAGAAACCAAATGAATCAGATTCTGCGAGTCAACGACATGATCACATCACACTAGAAAATCATGATAGGTAAGTTTCATTGCATTTTTGTTGTTTATTGTGAGGTCATTTATAAAGGTTTCATAATATCACAGAACTTGAGGTAATGTTCTTGAAATCCTAGATATAAAATTAGAAAATTAATAAGTGGTCACACCAAATAAACATCAATTATTGTGGGATAGTGTCTTTTGTTTTTAAATTTTGTTTTGTAATGCAAAATGAAATGCGTAATAATGACTTAATCATTTTTATCTTTCTTAAAAAAACCAAAACAACTGCTTAAAAACCTTTGAAATTTTCAAGATATTCAAATGAGACTTTTTTCATTCGTTATAACTAGCGGTATTTTCTCATATAAAGTGACTTTAACCACTATAATATATAAATAATTTATTTTGAAGAGTTAATCATTTAATGTAGCATTTCGGTACTGATAAAATTCTGCTCAATTTACCATTATAATTTCTCTAGAAAAAACTTTCATCAAAAAGTAAAAATATACTCATTTCATTTATTGCATGAATTTCCCTTTATACTTCGATGTATGAAGTCGCCTTCTGTTTAATTTAATTGTAATTTCAGTATAAAATCTTCCATCAAAAAGCGAAAATATGCTCATTCTATTAATTACTTCAAATGAATTTTCCTTTATACTTCGATGTATGAAGTCGCCTTCTGTTTAATTTAATTGTAATTTCAGTACAAAATCTTCCATCAAAAAGCGAAAATATGCTCATTCTAATAATTACTTCAAATGAATTTTCCTTTATACTTCGATGTATGAAATCGCCTTCTGTTTAATTTAATTGTAATTTCAGTATTAAATCTTCCATCAAGAGGCGAAAATATGCTCATTCTATTAATTACTTCAAATGAATTTCCCTTGATACTTCGATGGATAAAGTCGCCTTTTGTTTAATTTAATTGTAATTTCAGTATTAAAAGTTTCATCAAGAAGTAAAAATATGCTATTTATTACCTGAAATGAATTTCTCGTGATGCTTAACACTAGATTGCCTACGGAAGTTAATGATCGGATTTTCATGAACTAAGTGTCAATCTTAATGGTTCCGGGGGGTGACCTCAAATATGCTAAAGTTACGAAATCAGACACAAAAACGTACTTTTTCTGAATAAATATTTTTTTTCTCCATATTTGGAATCCAGACACTTGAGGGGGGGGGGTAGACAAAATTTTAAGAAAATTGGGTCGTAAATTGGGTCACAATAAAGGTTTATATACACTGGTTATCATAAATTAAGGAAAAATCACAAAAATAACGATAACTNCTTACTTTTGAAAGAGTTATCGCGATTTTTGTGAATTTTCCTTAATTTATGATAACCAGTGTATTTGGCGATAGTCCAGAAAACCACCAAAAAAAGTAGCCAGCGCAAATGAATATTTTAAGATAACCCATTGACTAATTCAAAAGAAGAATGCTCAATTTTACTAGGTTGCTATGCAACCAAGTAAAAAAAAATTGAAATACTGCTCTGTGATTGCTCGGAGAGGTTTAATTAATAGTTAATAGAAAATATCTCGAAGTTTCTAGGCAATAGACAATTTTTAAGCTAATTTCTGTCCAAAAAGCAAAATTTTTTTTATTTTAATGTCCTTTGAAAAGAAAATTTGAATCAATTTATAAATTATTTATGATTTTCTAAGTTTTTAGAATTTAAATACATGAACTTTTTATCTGATATTAATTAGATTATGTTGTTTTTGCTATACTTATTCGAGGATTTCATACTAAAATCAAATTAACATAACTTATTATGGCTATATACAAAATTTTAGGGACAATCATTTTTACAGCTTTAATCGAGTGTTCTAGGCAAGAAAGTTTGAAGAAAACAAAAGTGCTTGAAAAATAAAATGTATATTGTATAGTAATGCTAATGCACATTCACGAGGTTTTCTATAATTTACGATATTTCTTTTTTCTATAACTCAAGGAATTGCTCGAATGTTCAGTAGTATTTTAAAAACATTGAAATATGTTATGTTTAAGAATAAGATATTGAAATAATATGTTGCATAATGTAGGATTCATTGTTTAAAAAATCGCTTCATTCTGCTAGATATTTAGGTTACAAGGTATTCTTTGGATGAAGATGATTAGCAAATAGCATCCTCATGTTTCGATACATTTTGAAACTTATGTTCGCAAATTCACCATAAAATGTCGCACAGCATATTCTTCAATAACGATAAGCTACATTTACCACCAAATATTGCTAATATGATTATTTTTGTTTTCTTATATATGTTACGGACAAAGTATGAAACACCGGCATTGTATAGAATGCCTAGGCATTCTATACAATGCCGGATGTTTTTAGGCAAAGTATGAAATGTGAGAGGTATTACATACTTTCCCTAGGCATTGTATAGAATACCTAGGCATTCTGTAGAATGACAAATGCTATTTAGGCAAAGTATGAAAGAAACATACTAATGAGGTCATTATGTAAATGATGTGCATGTTACAGTGAATGACCGAAATCGGTGGTTGTTGACAATCACGTAGTCTCTTTGGTGAATGTCCGAAATATTTATTACATCCGATTTGATATTAATTTATTCGTGGATATAATTACATTTATTCGATATTTTAATACTTACTGACGATAGATTAGAAGAAACATCAGTGTTTGGAGTATCGGGCAAGTATATACCGGGCAATGGCACTTGAAATTGAAAAATTATCAGTGTAGGATATACCGGGCAGGAGTACTTGACCTTAAAAAAAAAACATCAGTGTCGGGTATACCGGCAAATGTATACCAGGCAGTGGCACTTGACTAGACCTTTGGTAAATGTCCGAAATATATACTAGGTCTAGTTAAGAGCCACTGCCCGGAATACAAATTTCCCGGTATATCCTACACTGATGTTTTTTTTAAGGTCAAGTGCCACTGCCTGGTATATATCTGCCTGGTATACCCTACACTGATGTTTCTTCGTCAGTAAGTATTAAAACATCGAATAAATGTAATTATATTCACGAATAAATTAACATAAAATCGGATGTAAAAAATATTTCGGACATTCACCAAAGCGACTATGTGATTGTTGACATTCTCCGGTGAAAGTCGACATTCACCAGATTTCGGTCATCACAGTATCATACATTTCTTAAAAATAAAAATGCCATTCTGAAAGAATACTGAGAGTGCCATTAAAAAACATTTATTCAAAATGTGTAAAGAAAAATAAAAAGTTGTGCAAAGCATAATTTATGCCTTTCTTATTAAGGGAAACAAAATTTTCATATAAAAAATAAGAAAATAACGTAATTGTCATTTTTGAAAGACATTTTGACGATCGGAGATGCATTTTATACTTCGCCGGTTTTTCATTAGGCATTCTATAGAATGCCTAGGAAATGTGTGATGTATAAATCATTTCATAATTTGACGGCTAATTTTAGGCATTATATACAATGCCTAGGCATTCTGCAGAATGCCGGATTTCATACTTTGCCGGTAACATATATATATCTGATACGATACTCTCTTTTCAAGCAGAGCTCGTAAGGTTAAGATACTGAAATGGGGGCATGAAAAACTTAAAAGATAAAATATTTAATTTCATTAACTCAAAATATCTGGTCTCAAAATTTTAATTTTAAAGTTAAATATAACTTTTACAATATTGATGCTCTTACGTTTTTAAAGACCACATAAATACTGTTAAAATATGAAAATGCATATGTTTACTTTAACGAGTGCAAAATCCTTATCAAAATAATGATCAAGACCCAAATATAAAACAGTATAATTGATGATAAAAACTCAACTGGCTTCAAAAAATATGAAGAGGGAAGTAAAAGTCGACATGTTTCGTGCGTTCAAATATAATCGCCCATTCTCAAAACTTGTCAAGCTTGAATAACTTGTGATTTTTATTATTGGATTCTCAAAACATGTCTATTTTTATTATCATCTCTTATTTATTTTTTATTATTTTTATTATCAATGAAGTTTTTATATTTTCGATTCAGTTTCTTGAGATTATCTATTTAGTTACACAACATATTAAATTATTTCACTCGATATTAAAATAAGTGTTACATAAGTTATAGGCACAGGCTCTTAGATTGAAAAAAAATAATAATTCATTACTTTGTAAAAAAATCAGTGCAATTTATTTTTTTATTTTTTATTTTTTGCTGCTGGCCTTAACATTTTAATTAAGGACATAAAATAATTCCATTTACAATTGAAATTTCAAAAGTCGAATGTGAAAATGGAATGTCCCCCAGGACCCGGAATCGAAATTAAATAGTTTCAAGGACAACTATTTCAAACGAGTTAACGTTTCTGTCATCGAAGTTGTTTGAAAAGGTATTTTTTTATATATCGATTCCAAAGTTTATTCTACATATATTTTAGGGTATACTTTCGAAGTATTTTGAACGAGTTTATTTTTACACCCTTATTTGCTTAATATTATTATTAAATAATTTGCTTAAAACAAATTATTCAAGCTACATGATTTAATGCATTTATAGTATAATAGTAAACGGGGCTTCCGTCGCATATCCTTAACCTAGATACCGATATCATTAAATAAATGGAATAAGCTTAGATATATAATAAAAGTTAATTTTTTCCTCGTTTTTATTTTCAAGGAAATATGTTTCGATCAAACAGATTTCATTTTGGAAATGAAATTATTGAGTAGGTCCCTTGGAGCAATATCATTCTTATCCTCTTTTGACGAAATATAGGAAAAATTGGTTTTCACAGTTTCTGTAAAACGTATGTTAACCTTCTAGCCACTTTTTTTAAATTTTTATTTTTTTATTTTTAATCAAAATAAGTTCGGAAATTGCGTATTTTTTATTGCATTTTTATTTTTTGAAATTAGATGATTCTAAAAGTGGCACGGCTTCGGAATCTTCACACAAATTTCAATTTTTATTATTTCCTGCTTAACAAAATAAGGCATTTTTCCTGATAACAAATTATACTACAATAATATCTTGGGAATCGTGCTAAGGTAAAAAATTAAACAAAATAGTTTAGTTTATTATCCGGAAAAGAATCTACATGGAATCATAAAGAAAGAGTGAAAGATATAATGAAATAATTAGTGAATCAGATAATTAGTCAGATAATTAAAAATTTATTTTCATAACTAAGATGTTAGGGCGACATTTAAGATATTGAGATATTTTAAGACGCTTAAAAATTTTGGCTACGTATTCGACAGCTTTTTATGTTCGATATCTTTATACTCTTTGTAGTGACTTCGAAAACATCAGCACTATTTTAGATAATCTTTGTTGAAGTCACAAGAAACAAAACAAAAAAAGTCAATCAATAATTTATACTCCTTTTTCGAAAAAAATAGTATGCTTAGTAAATAATCAGTTGTTTTGCATTAAATAAATTTAAACAGCGGAATGTTTTTAATTTCTTAACAAGGTTTTATTCTTAGCTAGCAGACAATAATTCTTTTAAAAAAAACTTGACTATAATTTAAAAAGGAACTTTACTTAAAAGAAAACCTAAATTAAAGTACTAAAAAAATTTTTTAGTATATTAATGAAAAAATAATAAACGTAGTAGGGTAAAGAATAAGATTTTTAAAAATGTTGAAATTTAATTAAATAGTTGGTAAAATAGTTCAGCGAAACACAGCGTTGAGATATTTGCGATGATGTGAGAGATGCTTAAAAATGTTGACTACGTATTTTTATTAATATTTATAAAAAATATATTCAAGAAATTGACAAATATTTTATTTCAATTCTATTCATACGTAAGTATATTATTGAAATTGTATCAGTTATTGAGAAAACAGAACTAAAAAATAAAAAATAATTACTTTAAATAAGCACAATCTGGTGTATAATCATATTCTATCAGAAGCATGCTTTTATAAAACTCGACAATCGGTGAATAAAATGTTTTTTATTCAATAAAATGTTTTATTCAAACTTCTTTACTAAATTGCAAATAGAATTTTAAACGACTAAAAAAGAAACATCGTATTTTATAGTTTTAAAAGAATAAAAATAAAAAGATTAGCAAACGATTATTAGCGAAAAAAATATGAATGAAATTTTACGTTACGCGCGTTAAGTCAAATTCCTCGTAAGTTTATCACATTTTAATGTTAATCGCCCCATTTAATAATTTCCTCAGTGTCGCCAAATTGTTATTTTTTAAATAATTAATTTTAATTTTTCTCATCTTCTAATAAATAAAAACAATTGAAACTTTAGATTTTTCAATTGGAAAATATGTAGATTAAAATGGTATAAAGAAATCCATTCCTTATAATTCAAAATATTTTCAACCTCATTTTAATTAAATATTAAAATATAATAAATAATTTTTAAAAATTATTTTTTTTCATGAAATTATCTTTGGGTAAATGTGTTTGATGAGTGGGTGCAATTTTTTTTCTTTTTTTTTGAATTGCTTCATTAGTTTTTAAAATATGACTGAAAACGCAAAAAGCGAAATTAACATTAAGGGGTCAAAAATTTGAATCGCTTTCCTGACCAAACTATGGGGACCACATTTCCCAGATTGCGGCTACCCCCTATATTTTGAAGATGAGGAATCCAAATATGTAAAAAAAAGTATATGTTTATTCAGAGAAGGTACGTTTTTGTATCTGATTTCGTAACTTAATTAATAGTTAGCACTAATTAATTAGCATATTTGAGGTCACCCCCAAGAACCATTAAGATTGACACTTAGTTCGTGAAAATCCGATCATTAGAACGAAAGTTATTCAGGGTGATATTTTTTTTTTTTGCGGACTGTACAACATAAATTTTTTTTTATTGTTAATATTTACTAATAACTTGTCGTAAAAGTGTAAATAATACAAAAAATTTTAAAAATTAATTTTAAACAAATTTATTTACGCATTCACGATGCAGTCATTTTGACTGCTTTTGGGCAATATTGGTATATGCTAATTTTCCGTCTTTCTAGTGTTAAAATCGCAAATGTATAATTAAAAATGAATAGAAACATGGGATTTGTTTTAGTGTTCATCATCTGTCAATTAGTAATCAGAAAAAGAAGCATCACAGTGATCCAGGTGGATCTTCTGGACATATGACAATAGGATCATCGCGTAGTGAACCTGATTTAGGAAAACCCTCCAATCCATTAAAACCAGTTTTCAGGTGAATTTTCCTTTTTATTCAATCTTTTTAATTAAAATAATGCTTTGAATTGGATGATCCATGCAACACTCCAAATATAAATCGTCAATGAAGAACTGTCATAAAAATTTAATTGTATGATGTATTTAATTAAAAACAGAGACTAAAAAGGACGCTTTACCGAATGTGTGTGGATGGTCATTATCTGCAAATAATTTCTTTGTTCATTTATAAACCTTTCTTAATATTATCACGTTTTTTAATTTGATTGTTATTCATAAATGTCCTTTATGATATTATAAAGTGATCACATGATATTACCTTATTATGCAAAATTTTATGACGAATTATGGCAATTATTAGACGGTAAATAAGTAATTACTTTTATAGTAAATTTTGCGTCTAATTATTCAATCAACGTATGCAATTAAAATAATGAATACAAAATTACTATCTAATATTCTAAAGCAATATTACGAGTCAGTTTTTCGCACAATTGCTAAATAATTTCTTTGGCGGAAAATGTTTAACGAGTTTTTGTAGTAACTAAAAACTTTAAAAAAATAATTTTAATTAAAAACTAGTTGAAGAATGAAGTTGCATTGATAATCTAGCAAAACTATAAAGTTTTCTTTTTCTCCAAGACTATCTGAAACTAAATCTGCGTTTTTACAATAAAAGAAAGAAAAATCTTTTAATTTTGATGTTTATTGTTAAGAACTTGGCGAACAAAAGCACTGGGCGAGATCAAATGCTCAGAAAGTCGTGTCCCCAATCGTGGTTGCCGGGAGAAAAGTGTAATATGAAAGAATAAAAAACAGTGTCATACATTATTTTAAATTTTATTTGATATTACCAATATTTGGAATGATGACGAAACATGAATGGTGTAAAAATAATTAAATAAATAAGAGGAGTAACAAGGAATCACACTACCTCCGTTTTATACACCAAAAATAGTGGAAAAGTAATAAGTATAGTTGCGTGATCTATTTTTGGCGCACCCTTTAAATATTGAGTTTTACCAAAAAATGTAACCCGGACTTTCATGGTCGCTCAGTATATCTCCACCCCCTATGTCCACTAATGTCCACGCCTATTCCTCCCATTCTCCCACCCATAGCTCCTTCAATTTGACTTGTCTTTCAGCTTAGAAAGGGCCTTAACATGTAAAGTCTATGGCGTGCTTGTCATACTTTGAATCGAATTTTCTTGTTTAAGAATCGGGGTGATCAATTAAAAAAAAATACTAATAATTTTTTCAATCTTTCCTATCCACGAAAATGTAGGTCAATTTTTTTTAATCTTTATTACTTTTTGTAATATTGCCTTTGTAACTCAAGTCACTTTCTACGTTTGAGTAAGGGAGGAAGGCAACTTCCACCCCCAATCGTCTCTTGAGGGTCTAATCTTCTCCGTAGGTGGTCTTGCTTTCTCCCGGTTCAACTCTTTTTGAAAATCTTTTTCTTTCTCTGTCCTTTTGAAAAACTGATTTGGGGCGTTTTAAAAACCGATAGCATACTTTTTATTTATAAGCTTGTAATTTATTATGAAAATTATATTCGCTGAAAATTTGTTCATTTTATATAAATTTTATTTATTTAGTAGTAATAATTTTCTTGTTTTTATTCATTTTGAGAGTGGAATTTATTTTTTAAATACATTATTCACCTTTTTTAAACCTTTTTCCTTGTTTTTTAAAGATATTTCAGAATTAAAAAATTTAGCTTCTGAATAAAGTGAGATTAATTAAAATCGAGACAATGACGTAAAGATCTTCCACTATACTATAAAGCATCACAAAACTGCAATTTTCCTTTTTTTTTTTTTTTTTTAAATATATCGTACACTCATTTGTAGGTTTAAAAAAACATTTACATTAAAAAAATTTAAAAGGTTGCAATTTTTCCATTCCATAAATAGTTTTAATTATTCCAATAGCTGGGATAGCTTGTTTTTCCATGGTAAGGGGGAAAAAATAGCTAGTACACAAGACCACACGTCATCCAAACATGAAGAAGCACTTATCCCTGTTTTTAGGGCTTTAATGTAAATACACAAGAACACTAAAGTATTATGAAATTTTTATTTAAAACAGTAAATGAAGTAAAATAGGAAAATATACGCATGTATTGTAAAAGTCTTTTAAAAAAAGGAAGTAAAAGAACATTAGTGGACATAATTAATATTCACTAGAGAAAAATACAAACGGTATCAAAATATGATTAATCGCTGCTTAGGAACGCAACACTGAAAATATTGAAACCAGTTTGATTGCCAGATGAAATAGAAAGAATGAGAAATGTGATTATTATAAACACCACGAAATTTCATCACGATAAATTAAAAAATAAAAATAAGTTGTAATACTTAAGAGTTAAGCTTCTCTTTGTTACTTCAGACTGTCAAACTGGTTTTGATGTTTTCAGACCTGATTCCTTAGTTGATTCACTAGATTTTGAAACTATTAGTCTTTTTTTGTTGCTTTAACATTAATCTGTAATGCCTAATTTATACACTTTTTAAAACTTTTTTTCGCAATATTCTAAAAATATATATTAAGAGTAGTTATTATGTAATACCTTATGTATTTAATAACGAGAAATTTTTCGAATTCATATTAAAAGTGTGTAATGTAGTTTTTATTCACAATTTTTCGCTCTTTTATATTGATAGAAAGAAGTATGTAATCAATGGGTTATTTTAATTTCTCTTCCCTGACCCTCCTTTGCAGAATGAAGTTCCTTTATTATATAAAGTAATCACAAGATTTTACTTCATAAAAATTGTCTGATAAAATATAAATACCGTTTAACAACCAAAAGATGATAAATAAAATATATTCGCTCTTTAATAAATAAGTTATATTTTCCTTTATTCCTTTAAAATAAACTTCATATAAAACTGCGCTCTCAAAATATGCAGTTTAATAAATTTATAAAGTCGAACTCGTTTATAACGAGCACAAAGGGACCGTAACATGTACTCGTTAAATCCGAGTGCTCGTAATAAACGGGTCCTTAAGGCAGACGTGCAACCAGAAGAAGGGGGGGGGGGAGGCTTGGGAAGTCAAATGATTGAGTTGACTTAAAATTTAATTAATACTTACTTACTTTAATTACATTAATTAATTTAATTAAATACTTTTCTTAATTTAATGACAACTAACCCCCTTCCCTCGCATTTCTTTATCATTTTGAAAAAAAGATAAGACAGAAAGACTAGAAAGA